CAAACAACAGCAACAAAAAATATTGTGTTACTATTATCAGTCGTAATAGTCTCTAAAATGCTTAAAATTTTCTTATGTTCCACTGTTCTCCTCTCCAGTGTTCATTTAAAAAATTAGTAAGCATTCCCCCCCTTTAGCGTTGATTGGGGCATACAGTAAGACCTCGCTTAACGCGGGGGATACGTTCCATCAAAGTAGAGCGTAATGCGAAACAGCGCTAAACAAGGCTATCTTTACATGTAAATATTGGGGTTAGGAGAAGATGGCTAGGAAATTGGTTAGGTATTAAATTTAAAAAGTATGTTTTTTTAATAAAAATAAAACCAAACATTTATTTCTTAAAGCCCAAATTAATACCACATTATTATTTCTTGCAAAAATAAAAACAAAATATAAATAACAAAACGAATATTCTTAAAAAAAAAAAACAAATAAAATTCTCAGTCAGTCATATTTAGTTAGCCTTCCGCGTTTTCAGTGTTCTGCCTTTTTGTGACAAAAGCATCTAATGTTGTTTGCCTTTTTCTTTTGCGTTGTTCTCTTAAAAGTTCTTCATAAACGGATAGAGCATCTCTAACACGACGCCTTACTTTTGAGCTCCTGTCAAAATTCGGATCATTTTCAATGAATTGATCCATTATTTCAGTTATGGTAGACAAACTCCTTTTTACAAACGCCATCGAAAGTTTTTGCTCTTCTTCTGAATCACTGCTGTCAACATTTTTGTTTTCTTCTTGTTCAGTTAATTCCTTGAGCTCATCACCAGAAAGACTAGCCGCTGCTTCTTGAATTATTTCTTCGACATCTTCCACATTTACCCCTTCAAAATATGTCTGTACAATACCGCACCAAACAAGAAATACAAGTACACTCTTTCGGATATGTATTTGAAACCTATCGCTGCATAATATTATGCTGCGAGCGATTTCGTGGAATCCCCGGGTTGAAATAAAAGAGCGCTAAACCGAAACAGCGCTAAACGAAACAGCGTTAAGCGGGGTATTACTGTATATATATTTTAAATCTGAACTTACGAAACTCTGATTCCTCAATTATAGAGGCAATTTGTGTTTATAAGTATTGTTCTCTACGTACGGGTTCGTAGTAGATTGATTGCACGCAGACTCGATAATAGCTTCATAAAATTTATTTTACCAAGAGAAACACTTTACAGTTCCAGAACTTTACACAAAAGTACTCATACAGTTGTTCTCAGAATCGCCGAGTATAATCAGAAGTTACACTTCAAACTACTAAGAACGTTAAACACAACGCAGTGCAAAGCGCATCTAAAAGGCGAAGTTCTCACGGAGATCTAAATATTCAGCTCTGAACTAATGACTATAACTGAGAAACACTGAAAGCTGATGCTTTATGCGGTCTTATATAATTTTACCCGGCCGCCGAGAATTCTCTGGTACCTTCCCACTTCTCAAAACTACTAGAAGGTATATCAGGGCCGGATACGTTAAAGTTGGATATACGATCAATTAGAGTAATTCAATTACAGTAACCATCATCGTTATGCTGGGACTGGAACTAAATGTCGCTAAATAGTCGCCACGTTCGGCGACGTATCGCCAAACTTGGCGGTAAAAATTATTTGCCAACTTGGCGATATTTCGCCAAGGTGGCGAACGATAGCCATTTACCCAATGTTAATTAGACTTGCAACTGTATTCTTATTTTTCCCGCAGAGCTCTCTTTGAAGCATTTCATCTTACATTATACAAAAAACACTACAATCACATATAATTTCACTAAAGTTATTTACATATGTACAAAATTTGTAACAGTATGTAAGAGTTATAGGAAATCAGCTTACAATGCAAAGGTAGTGGTATTTTGCTACAAATAACACTTTAAAATTAACGCGTTACAATAGTTCTGGACGAACAGTAATCTTATAAAATGAGGATAAATTAATCAAACCCCATCTAAAATAAAAGTTAAGCTTGTTTATTGGGGAACGGTAGAAAAAATTACTAATACAAGCCATCAGTGTAAAACTCATCTGTCTGAAGAGAGTAAAATAAAATAATTAAAGGAAAAAAGAAAAATTCTGAAAGGTTTCAGATTTTAAATTGCATCTAAAGGGGCGTTTTTTTTACCGTTCTGTGTGTTATCTTTATTTATTAAATATAATCTTCTTTGCACTTAAACCATAAAATTCAGTTCAACAGCAATGTCGCAAAATAATTTTAAAATGAGCGTATCTTTAGAAGTTCCCATACACAGTTCCGCGCGCTGGAAATAAAAAGTTTTTTTTTTTTTAACCCGATGAGTGTTGCCATTGCTCGCTTTGAAACCCTTGAGTTTGTTAATCAAAAATTCGTTATTAAAGTTTTACAAAATATAAAATCGATAATAAAACAAATTCCAAATTTCAAATTTGGTCTTCCGCATGCCCATATTAGCAGTAGGATTACGTCATTCAAAATTCCATGGCTCTAGGTACCGTTTTTTTAGCAAAAGGCGAGAAATATGCATACATTTATGCAAATTTTTCATTATTTAATTTCTTCAAATATAATGCAGGATTCTAACATTTGGTGGCAACAGTTTAAAAAGTGAAACGGACATTTATAGTGAACCAACGGAAAATCGCAGAACGAAGACAATAGTCCTTCAGGGACAAAACTCCTTTGGACTAAAAAGAAAATTGGGAACACGGGTACGGAATCTTCGCATTAAAAATGAAAATATGGCAAAAATAAAAATAACAAATAAAAATGCGTGTTTAATCGCTTGAAAAAATACTCATCACTTTTTTTATTTTTTATTTTCGAATCTATTACAATGTAGTAAACTACTTCACTAATATAGGTGGAGGAGTGTTAATGAAAGAAAAGATAGCTGTGGTTTCAATATTCTCTTCAATTCTATAACTGTAACTACAATATACACATTAAAATATCTCTTAGCATTAACGCAAGTAGCATAATAAGAAGGCTCCGAGTTGCTGTCTTTGTGAAGCTTTTGTAACAAAATGTGGTTGCTTTAAGAATCTTATTCCATTAATGTCTTGATTGACCACTGCAAGAAATTAAATTGTTTTGGGAAATTACCCAGCCACCAACGAGTTTGCCTTTTGGAAGGTATAAAAAATTGATATTTTAGAGAAGCTTTCCAAAAATAAGTTTGACTTCAGAGCTGATGTGGGAGTGCTTGCAGCAACAAATGCGCAAAATAATTAGCATATAGGCTTATAGGATTCATTTGTTACACTGAATAGTATGTGTAGAGTCAATTTATTTAAATTTTTCTCTTCTGCTGTCACGAGCAGCATTTTGTGTTTCTGTTCAACTTCGACGTTTTTGTTTTTAAAAATAAGTTTTATATTATTCCTAAAATAATCATCACTTGGGTGCTCAAATAGAGAGGGAATCTTTAACCCTCTGATGAATTATGAATCAGTTTTCTTAATTTTTAAACAGAAATCAGAAACGAAAGACATTTGAATCTGTGTCTTACAAGATAGAATTTCATTTTCGAAAAATTTCTCTAGAAAACCGATATTGTCGTTCTCATATTTACTCAGATTGCTCCATATCCTCGATCAAGTACACGATACCTTCGAACCAAGAGCTAGTTTTCCTTTAAAAACGTTCGTAAACAATTATTCTCATTTAATCGCTAATACTAGTAAATTTCGCTTATTTTGCTGGTACATTATTCAGGTGATAACATTTATTACTAATTATAAAGTAAATAATGTTCTTTAATGTCATTTACAGCTTATTTTTAATGATGTTTATTCTTCCTTTATTTAAAAAGTATTAATTTTGCTTCGAGTACTGCTTTATGCAACTAAATGCGACCCCCCCCCAACCGGGGTAGAGGTTAGCGACAATCCCGGCGAAGGCATGGATGTATATAAAAGTATAATGTTTGTGAGGCATGGGGGTACTAAATACACGGTGACCCGGATGTCCTCTTGAGAGGTTGGTGGCGAGGAAAGAAGGATGGGAGACCCTCGGACCCGTCCATCAGGGCTGCTCCTCTTCAAAATTGGTGTAGAACTGATCAAAGTTATACTGTCCCCAGTATGGTGCCCAAGGCTGTTGCCAACGACGACAGGCACAATCTTGTCTCCTTGCCATGATGAATTTCTGGGGCTTGTTCTGATATCAAACAAGCGAGATTAGTCACAACAATAAACACCTTATTAAATGGATTACATTGCTTAAAAACACAGATAAACTTCTGAAAGTAATTTTAAGTTAATTATAATATAATAGGAGTTATTCTTCTTTCATGTGTTTTTTTTCTAAAGTGCACTCGATTAATCGTGATTTAGGGTTAACCTTGGGCGAAGTTCTTGGGCAGTGGTGGACCACCTTTTTGGGGCCACGTTCCCAAAGTGGAATGGCCGCTTGCCATTCCGCTTAAGATATTAAATTACAATTATTCATAAGTTACCACAAAATGCTTAGATTTGGAAATTGGAATCCATTTAACAAAAGTATTAAACGTCACCGGTAGTCTGTAATAAATTTGAATTCATTTTAGCAGATATTAGCTGCTTCAACTTTGGCGTATTCTTTGCCAAGGAACAAGTAATATGATTGGCCCAAACAACTGAAACGCCATAAATTGAGTCAATAAATATGTACATCATTTTTATGGCGATATATGAAAATCTCGTATCTAGGCAGTGGCATTACGCGATAAGTAAGTAAATTAAACGTTCAAGAACAGACTAAAACACTTATTTAAATTACATAGTATCACATTATTGTGATTGTTGATTAAAGAAATAATATTTTATTCGCGTGCCGGCTGATGAGGCTCTGCGTGCCGACAGTGGCACGCGTGCAATAGGTTCGCCATCACTGTTCTAGGGAATCACCCCAGTTAATCAAAAGCTGTATATATTTCCTTTCTGCAGGAATTTTGCGAATCATTGCAATTTATCCACTGTTTACTTGAATATTAATTACTTTAATTATTTTTGAAACGACTATTTGAGATTGCAAACATCTGTATTGATATATAAGTAACTAAGTTTTATTTTGTTATTCTTACAGTGAACGCTCAGTGCTATTTTCCTATGGAATATTTGGGAACGTATTTAATCCAAACAGAAACAGAAGCATTTGGACACACAGCCGCTACCTTTAGTGAAATTTCTATCGAACCTGATGCCATTCCTCCCTGGGGAAAATGTTTCCGCAAGAGAGGAAATAATGTCATCCTGAAAGACACGTATGAGAATTTTTATTATTAATTTTACTAATTCCAGAATTAATCGTGGAATTTGGTCTCTTCGGTGTTACTAGTTTTGAGGCATGAAATTAAATTTAAAAGAATTGTTGAATGTTAATATGCAGTATGTTATTCTGATACAAACAATTGTTGCTAGAACTATTTTCCCTTTTAAAATATAGCATTTACTTGCATAGTTTCCCCCGGTATTTAAAAATCTATGTTGTGACAACTCATACTTCCATGCTGAAATGCACTTATTTTTTCAGTACTATCGGAGGAGATTGCATGAGATGCTTCCACCTCACCCTGAAAGCTCCAAATGTCATACAAATTCATACAGAAGGTAAGTAATTTTTCTTTCTTTAATTTTATTTATTTACTATTAATATTTCATTTGCTGTCAGAAAATAAATTAAATTCATCTATATGCTGCAGGAAATAATTATTTTTTAAAAATTAGTAACTGATTTTATTAAAATGTTATCGAGCAGTCTGACGTAAATATTTTCATCTCCATGTATTTAGTTGGCATGGAATTAGGATTAAAATGTACATTAATAAATATGCACAACGCGTATACAAATGTCCTTACCTGGCCTTTATTTTTGCAACATATTTTTTTAGTCTCATGTAGTCATTAGCATATTTTGCAGTAGTATTTCTGCATATGCTTCCAGTCACAAATATGTTTTTAAAGACGGACAGATTCATGTTTTCGTATTTTTAAATTAAAAACAATAAATTTCGTTTTAAATGCGAAATATCTTTTATGTTTTGTACGCTGACCTGGTACCTACACTTAGATTTAGGGAAATGCTATACTCACTAAACCCCCCCCCCCGAAAAAAAAGAAAGTTTGACTCCCGTATAATAAATGTTAAACATAAGATATTTAATTCCAAAATTTGCGGCTTTCACGTCATTTTCAACTTGCCTCGAAGGGTCGGTTAATAAATAAATTAGAATAGCCGCGAATTTGATTTTTTACCCTTACCTTTTGTCATTTACTTGTGTGAAATGTTGTTCAGTTTGTAACTATTGCAACTATTATGCCGAACGAATTTTCACGCAAATACTTTGAAAGGTTAGAAATACGTTGTTAATATTATCATGCAATAATACGTTGTTAATATTATCATGCAATTTTAACTAACTAAAAGGATGTTGGATGAGTGTTCTCCACACCCAGGATTTGGCGATTGGATCTCCCTAAAAAAAAAAAAAAAAAAAAAAAAAAAAAAAATCCTAATGTTTCTACAAATTTATGAATATAAAATGCAACCTTTATTTCATTTATAAAACAAGTGAAAAATAATCTAAATTTACACGAATTTATATATTTATATTTTGAGTTTGGGAAACGAGGGGAATGATCCTTTAATGATTATGAAAGGGGTGCATTTAGCTAAAAAGACTGAGAACCAATTATTCAGTGCATGGTATTTTGTGCAGATCACACTGGCTTATTAATTCAAATAACTCTTTCAGGATTAGTAGTAAAAAAAATTTTTAAGAATAGAATAGCGGACGTATATAATCGTCTATGTAATGCAAAACAATTATTTTATTTTTAAATGAATGTTTAAACTTATACTAAGCTCAAAAATATATTTTAATAAGGTTCATGAGAACTAGTGTAGCGTTCTCCATATATATGCAGTACTTCTTTTAAAAAGTTACATGTGTTAAAAGACACACGGATTAAAATTTTTTGTGGTTATATTAAAATTTAGGTGAATTTAATATTTAGCTTTATTTATGTGTCTTATGTTTTTTGTTTAGGTCTTGGAAAGTGTTATACAAAGGAAGAAGGAGTGAAGGCTACTTGTCCCGATGACAGAGCTATCAATGAACGTAAATTTAAGGAAATCATGCTTTACAGTGAGTAAGCTTTGCATTCAATACAATCCAAAAATTCAAAGCCTGAAATTGAATAATTCTATCTATTCTACTTGCATGTGTAATGTTTTGTTGTATAGACAGCATACGTTACTGAACTTGACAGATAGGAAAAAGAACCAACTCTTTAACTCTCATTTTTCAAGTCTTGAAAGAGGGAATGTTGTTTTTACATTCCGAAAATGGCTTAGAAATGGCTTTTTTCACGATGATTATATTAATATTGCAGAATCATATCTTCTCTACATATAATAAAAGAAAGAGTCTGTCTGTGTGTGTGTGTTTTTCGTTCGCGCTGCGCGTAAGCTAATAGACCCACGGCTACGAAATTTGGTACATAGGTGCATTTAGACAAGAGCCAGTGCACCTGGAAGCGATTTTTTCGAAATTCGAATTAGATTTTTTTTCTTAGATTTTATGTTTTGGGACGAAATCGCGTCATTTTGAGACATAATGGGCTATAGAAAAGCGAGATTTTACTCTACGCACTCCATTTTCACATCGTCATGAAACGTAGGCACTTAGCTATTTTACGAACTTAAATAAATTTCCGTGTTTCAGTAAAGCGATTAAATACGAATTTATTTAACAATGTGAGCTTAAACACCTTTTCAACGGGATTTTTTCTAAAAACGTTTATTTTTAAAAAAAGTGTACAGTTTAATTTTTCTTTGATTTTTGGACACGTTAAAGTTTCATCCTTGCGACTGCTTTTACAAAAAAGAATTTTGGAAAAAAGATAATATTTTATATTTTTAAAAAAAATTTTAAATGAAGCTTCCGAGTACTCTTCTCATATCTTACATCTTTAAAAATGTGATTATTGGCAACAATTTTCTTTCTTATTGTTGTTGATAGATTTTTGATGAAATCGTATCATTTTGAATAGCTTCGTTCTTTTAGAAATATGGGTTTGGCAACAATTTTTCATCGTATTTCTTATGTCACTGTTTTTAAGAGATTGGCATATTTCATTGTTATTTTTTTATATATATATAATACATTTTTTTTGATAAAGTTGTTCTGCAGAGTAAAATTCTGCGCAGTACATTTTTTTTGATAAAGTTGTTCTGCAGAGTAAAATTCTGCGCAGAATTTTTTGTTTTGAGTTTCTTTCATGTTATTTTTTGCTTATTTTACTATTTGTAAGATATTGAAAAGTTTCGCATGATTTTTTTTCTTCAGCGGAAAGTTGGTTAATTTTTTTATTAGGATAATTAATATTTGTATTAAGTGATAGAGCTTATTTCATTGTAATTTTTTTCTCTTGAAAATATAAGATAAAATATCATTAATTATACTTTGCTTTTCAGAATTTTTTGTTTTTTGTATTCTTTTATGTTATTTATTGCTCATTTCACTGTCTTTAAGATATTGAAAAGTTTTGAATGATTTTTTTAGGAAACAAAGTCCTTAACTTCCTTTATACCATATGAGTTCTTAAGATTTTGCAAAGGGAAGTTGGTTAATTTATTTATTAGGATAATTAATATTTATAGGGAAAAAAAAAAGGAATTATATGGATTACCGTAAAGCACGCGAGGGCTATCTAAGCGATACCTCTAAAGTAGCGATAATTACGTGGAAGACCTTTTAACCGAAACTGGCTCGTATTTACATTGCCACGGGGAAAACCACGAAAATTCCCCGATGACTGGAATTTTAACCCGAATCGATTAACCGATTTTATTGCTTGGCCGCTAACTGAAAGCAAGAGATGTAATTTCAGAGTACATGTTACGGAGCAGCCCAGTCGGTATAGTGGTCAAGGAAGCTGACTGCGATGCTGAAGGGCCTGGGTTCGAATCCCGGAGAAGCCATGGTTGTAACTGTCCGCCCCTTCGTAGGAAAGGCGATGGTGGCCCACCTATTAGGTGCCTCCATCATAAAGAGACTACCACATCCGGCCTTGTATAGATTAATGGACTGGGTTACATTTGTAATTGTTCACAATCTGCCATTGGAAAAAAAAAAAAAAAAAAAAAAAAAAAAAAAGTACATTTTACAGATCACGATTATTCAGAATTATAGTTTGCTACATTTGGAAGCGATTTTAATATGGAGAAATGTAGTGATTTCTAAATAAAAAAACTCCTTTTCAAATTTTTTAAAAATTTTTATTTATTTATTTATTTTTAAACATTACTCAGAGATTGATACTCAGAGATCGTCAGAGACGTAAATAGGGTTTTCAGCGCTCGGAGACAACTGAAGACATTGCACCACTTTCTGTGTGCCAGGAATGGAAAACATATCATTGTAAAATTTCGTAAAATCAGTTTGGCGCCCCTTGGATGCTGTGCCCGGGGACAGATGTCTCCGGTTACCCCACCGTAGCTACGCCACTGCATATCGTGCAGGCATTATTCCGAAAAAGTTCAAGTAACAAAGAATTTTAAAATTCGGTTAGCATCATAATAGCATACCAATCCCTCATTGGCACAGAAAATTGTGCTGTCAGCAATATATTAATTAATCACAATCACAATCCTGTCAGCACAATTTGGAAGACAAAAAACGCTCATCCATTCTCATCAATAATTTGATTACTTTGGATCCCATGCCTTTGCTCTTAAAAGCCATCGTTTTTACTTCCTTGTACGAAGTAAAAAGGAAGTATTGTAATCGCGAAAAGTTTTAGGCAGCATATTTCAACGAAAATATCCATTTTGACCGCTTACGAATGCAATTTAACGATGTTTTTGCGTGATATCTGTACATAAGGACAGAATAAAACACTCTTTTCCTCCAAAAAAATTATAAAACTGCTTTAAAATGAATTCTGAAGAGAATTTTTCGTGGCGTCTGTACGAACGTATGTACGTACGTACGTACGTATCTCGCATAACTCAAAAACAAGTAGCCTCAGAACGTTGAAATTTTGTATATAGGACTGCTATAACATGTAGATGTGCACCTCGTATTTCGGTTGCAATCGGCCGCAACAAACGTATGTAAATATATTTATATATATATCCACTCCGTTACCCGGCTCAGTGATCTCCGTTTCTTTACTCGTATATGTTTGTAAATTGTACATTTTCTGCTTTAAAAATGATTGAATTATGTTGTTTTTATCTTCCGGTTCAGGTTTTTATGCCTTTAATAAATCTGTATGCAATATTTTTAGAATTATCAACAATTTAAAAGTCGTTTAAGTGCCGCTAAGCCTAATAATTTTTTCCATGGCTGTCATTGCTTGTTTACATTTGAAATAGCAGAATAGTAGATTTGTTGCCAATTTAGAGAAAGTAAGCTTCGCAATAACAAAGATAACGCCTTCTTTTATTATTGCAAATTAAATCATGCTTAATCCATTGTGGAATTTATTCGAGAAAGTAAGTGTTTTAAGATTTACTTCGTAATAGTTAATATAGATATTTTGAGTTTTTATGCATTTTTGCCTTCTGGCGAAGTGAGAACTGAATTAATTGAATGAGAAATACTCAATCGTCTGTGAAAAAGTGTTCTTTTTTGTTTTGTTTGCTTAATTTCTTTTATACATCGTTCTAGCTTTATTATAGTATTTGAATAGAACATGTGGCAACGATTAGATAATTCGATTCTTTAAATGATATAAATTTTGTGCATTATGAGTTATAATATGAACGAAATTAATTAGTTAAGTGAATCTAGCGCCAGAGTGTCGCTATAGTAAACAAAACTAGAGTGAATTTTAAAGAATGCATTTATTCTATTGTGGTTTATGCGCTGTCGGCGAAGTAGATTTAATTCAATGCAATAAGTTTAAATGAAATTCAAGAAAAAATGCGTATAATTTAATATTCCGTACAAGGACGTCATGTGGTGTACACATCAGATTTTTTATTTCATGAAGAGCCTTCATGAGGATTCATGAAAATCAGCTGCTATGACGAGAGACTTTCTTTTTCATAAAAGTACGCAAAGGCACCGTGGGCTTTGTTATTAATAGCTCTGGTATCTCTACTATCAAAGTTCTCGTGGCGTGTTATTACATGTTTACAAATCCCTTAAATTATCGTTCAGGATAAATTTTCTGGTGCAAACTCATTGCTTTGAATTTATTCAAACCACGCGTCATGTACTTAAAAAATAACCTTATCTAATAAGATTGGTATGCGTCGCACCTGCATCTAAGTCTTTCTTCGAAAAGAAAATTTAAAAGTAAAATAAATAAATAAGCATTTCTTTACGTACTTTAAGCTGAAATCATATTCATGGAATTCAAAAAACATAAAAACAAATAGTCGCTAAAAAATAGTCCATTGGGTAAAAAATGTATGCAACCAAACAAAGCCATGTGCTATTGAAATAAGGCGTAGGGGCTTGATGGTATACATGTGGGTGCAAATTGTACATCTGTATGCAGTCCTTTTGTATTCTGTCTACTAGGGTGGATCTCTGAGCCAAACAACCTTTGACCCTCGAATAAATACGGCACATCGCGCAATGGCATTCCGCCGTTGGTCCATCTTGCGCGTCCCGCCTTCGCTAGGGTGGGGTATGAGCAACTCGACTTTGACCTTTGCTGAAGACCGAAAGCTGGTCCTCGTGGGAAGAAGAAAAGGGTTAGATTTTTCAAGTGCAAGGACGTATGATGAATAGAATGATGTTTCTTCGATGTACATTTGAGCCTAGAGAATTTTTTCGCCGTCCCTTCCCAGGTTGTTTTTATTCGTTTCCCAGTCAGTTCTGTAGCTTCGCTGTCTGCTTGATCTCCTGGTATGTTAATAATACCGATGGTATTCATACGCTTGGTAGGAAGTGGATATGGGTTTCAGAAACGTTTTCCTTGAGGTGAATGAAATCAATGGACAGCAAGAAAACTTTTGCTAGCTATGCATAACGTGGGTATTTAAAGTAGCATTCAAAATTGTTTTTCTAGTCGTGACCCCGCTTTATCCCCTCTTTCTTTTTTCTATTATTCTGAAGTTACAAATGTGTAATTAGAGGTAATTCTGACGAAGTAGTGCTATGCATTTCCAGCACAGCGAGTTCGT